AGTGCTATTGCTATTGCTATTATGTGAAACCCTTGATTATCCAATGCCAAGTATCTATGGGCCAATGTGCTGATATAGCAAATTGTACTAAAATGTATAACAGAATTAGGTAGGAAGCTCTTTACCATTTCAGAAAATGGTTGTCCAATCTCTTCTTAAAAATTTCCAGTGTTGCAGCATTCACAACTTCTTGATACAACTTGTTCCATTGATTGTTCTAAATGTCAGGAAATTTCTCCTAGGTTGTTTTACCTGTAAAACATGTAAATTAAATAGCTATTAGTTAAATAGCATAAAATTAAATAAATTAAGGAAAAAAGAGATTATATATATGTGAAACTAAGAAAGGGGGGTATTAGTAGATTTAAATCAATCATTTCAATTTATTTCAAAAATTAATACAGATAATAAAAAATAAAATGGAAGACATTTGTAAAATCACCAATCTAGCATTTAATAAGTGAGATCCAAGATTAGCCTATATTAAATTATGATGTAAACCTTAAAATTATATTAAGTATGATATCTAAAATTACAACAAAGCAAATGTATCTAAAACGATTAATATTAAAAAAGTGATCATATTTAACATTTGAATGAATTATAGGAAATATGTTGCAGGATGGCATAATTTGATGGATTTTCTGTGCTGCTTTAAAAAATTGACTACATACACGGTAACAAGAGGTGCATTGTATATAAGCAGCATCTGGACATCAGCTGAATCTGGGTAAACAGGATATCAACTAATTAGAGGAAGAATGAAACTGGATCTGATGTCTCTTTAAATGGAGCAATTAAGGAAGACATGTTCTATAGCAGGGGTATCAAACTTGATTTCACTGAGGGCTTCATCAGGGTTGTGTTTAACCTTGGAGGACTGGGGTAGGTGTGGGCATGGCCGACATGTCACTTGTGTCGGGGAAGCCTGTAATGGCCCGAGTGCTCTGCTAGTGAAAATAGGCTCCTGAGCTGTTTTGGGCTGGGACAGCTTCCTGCAACCCTCTGCCAGAAAAAACGGAGCTTGGGAGAGGCATGCATGGCCCTCACAAACTACCTTTTTTGATGGCAGAGGCACTGCGGGCCGGTCCTTCGCTATGGCCCCACAGGCCAGATCTAAGCACCCCTTGGGCCAGATCTGGCCCCCAGGCCTTGAGTTTGACACCCGTTCTGGAAAGTACTACAGCATCATCTGCATACAGCAGCTGGGGAATGCTATGTCTCCTAGTTTAGGGGTTGGAAATGCAGATCATTTAGGCATCTCACCATACAGTTGATATAAAAATTGAAAAGTGGATAAACATCCCTGTTTATCCATTTTTTAGCTGTAACTGGTTTCATAAGGAACCTTTGCATATTTCACCTGATCTTGAAAGTATATTTGTGTGTAGGGTACACATTAAATGAAGAAACCAACAACTAATTGATGCAACTTTCAGCTTTTCCCATAATTTGGTCCAGGACAAATAATCAAAATCTGCCTTAAGATCAATGAAGGGAGCATACAATGATACAGCATTGCTAGTTGAATAATTTTTAATCAAGTGCTGTTAGACCAAACACGGATTAATGGTTCCTTTACTTTTTACAAAGCCAACCTGCTCTTCTGCTATCAGATTTCCCTGATCCAGCCAGTCCTTAAGCTTATTGTGGAGGTGATTAGCATAAAGGTTGCTGATGATATTAATCAAGTTAATTGGCTTATAGTTAGTAGGGTCATCTCTCTTCCTCTTCTTAAATATTGGCACTAAAATTGCCAGGGCCCTAGTCCTTGGGGATGCATTGAGTGGTATCAATATGAGTGAAAAATGATTCCAATATTGGAACCCATTACTCTATTATTTTTCAATAGTTCTGAGGGAATAAGGTACATTCTGCAGTATTAGTAGATTTGAATAAAGGTGATCTGATCATGCAGAGTTGATTTGATAAATACATGCAAGGAAGCAAAGATGTAGATTTAATTATGAATGAAGGATCATTCATAAGTATAGTTATTTGTATATGACATGAAAAAGAAATTAATCAAAACCCAGGATGATCTAAAATTAGAAGGGGAATGCTTGAAGGAGTATTATGGAAATTCTGTAGGAATTATGACATGTCAAAGAAGAAAACTGAAACACATTGCAAATGTTTGTTTCCAAGATCAACAAATGACAAAAAGAACTTACATGTTATTCAAATGCTGAAAAATAGTAAACCATCCAATATATCTGTGGTAATTAGAGAAATGTTAATGACTATGAAAACTACATCAGGCTTGACAATTGGAGGGACACAACTAATATTCCTCATAAAAAGAAAAAAAGAGTGAATCATGCAGAGGGATTAATTTCTTTGGCAAAATTCTATTCTGAAGCATTACCAAAAAATGAAAAAAAAAGCATTATAAATGCAAAATTTTTATTCTTCACAATGGAGGTTGGTTTCTGACTATATGAAAGGTAGTATGTGACAGAAGCAGATTATGCATGAGTAGAAATGGCATGATTAGCTGAAGGCTCAAACCTTGGAGAGTTTGGTGTAATGTGCTTTTTCATATATTCATGGATGAAGCTAGAGAAACACTTGTATAGTATTTTGATAGTGGCATTAAGTTATTTTAAAAAGGGATTTTGGGCAAGTCACTCATTCTCATCCCAAACCATCTCAGAGGGCTGTCATGGGGAAAATAGGAAGAAGGTACATTATGTAAGTTTGTGACTGTTATGACCCAGATGATCAAAGCAAGGGAGGCCTTTAGAGAGTTCTTTATTTCTCTTAAAAATAACAAATATTCCAGTCAACGGTTTTCTAAAGACTGGTAAGGCTCCATCCCCACACTACCCTGAAGGCAGCCATTCTCAATCTCCAAAACACAGCCCCAGTAGTACAAAGAAAGCTCACAGAGTAGGAGTATGCAACGTCCAGGGTTCCAAATCCAATCCACAAGGCATAGCCCAGACACAAGACAAGGGCACCTTGGGACAAGAAACATTTCCCAGACAGGAAGCAGTTCCAATGAAGCAAAGGCCAAACTCAGGCCACAAGAGAAAGTCTAGGTCCAAAACAAAATGCAGAGAGCAATTCTCCAAGTGAGGCAAGGAAAACAGCAATGGGCAATAGTCAAAGTCGGAGGAGTGTAAGTCAAAGCAAACAATTGTTCCTGGCAAAGACTAACTTCTTCCTAAGTTACTCCTCTCCAGGTCTTCCTTGTGAGGAAGGGGGCTTGCAGCCCTTCTCTGGGCTTGCCTGCACTCCATTCTCCTTGTCCCTGGATCCAGTAAACTAGGCAGCTGTTCCTCATCAGGGGAGATCAGCTGCCTATCAGGACCAGTCAGCAGCCATTCTTCCTGTCTGTGCAGGCAGGCAGCTCTCCGTCTGGTCGACCACCTGCACCAGTGCCCAAGGGTAGTGCTCTGTCGTGCCTTCCATGTCAGATGTCCCAGGTCCAACTCTTCCAAACCAGGCTCTGAGGGGGCCAATGACACCCTGAGTTACTTGTAAAGTAATAAAGCAGGATTTTTTAAAAACCTAATTAAAATAAAATAAATAATTTTATGAACTTTGTCTAACAGTATTTATCCTAAAAGGGAGCAACGATGTTGGGTTTGTACAGATAATCTTCGATTTAAAACCATTCATTTAGTGACTATTGAAAGTTACAAAAGCACTGAAAAAGTGGCTTATGGCCGTTTTTCACAGTTATGACCATTACAGCATCCCTATGGTCACATGATCAAAACTCAGTTGCAGTGACCTAGGATCATGTGATCACCTTTTGGGACCTTCTGATAAGTAAAGTCAATGGGGAAAGTAGATTCACTTAACAACTGCAGTGATTCACTTAACAACTGTGGCAAGAAAATGTGGCAAAACTCATTTAAGTATCTTACTTAAATGAGTTTTGCTAACTGCATTCTCCAATGTTCATGTCCAGTGTTCATGTGCAATGACAATAAAGTTGAATCTAATCTACTTAGCAACAGAAATTTTGAGTTATTTATATGCATGACCTACCGCCCCATTTTCTGTGTGTGCTTTAGAAATCCAATCTATCTACAAGACCAAGTGATGGACACATTATTCAGTAAATAGCCAGTGTACACAGAGGGTTTTGCGGGCCATCTTAGCCAAGAAATTAGCCAGTAATGGATACCAAGCCTGGGATCAAAACCTGGACCAACATGAGCAGGGCCCATCAGGACTAATAGCAATTCCTACATTGTGCCTTCTTGAAACATACATTATAGTAAAGACAAACTGAATATATTTATAATTCCCTCATCATTAATATTATTTTGTAACAGTTGTGTCTAACCCGCAGCCCACATACAGCTCTGGGCAGCTAGTAATGCGGCCCCACAAGATAATAAAAAAGATAAAAGATAAAATAAGTTTGTTATGTATATACATTAACAATATGACATATTTTACACGCGGCCCAAGACAAGTCCTCCTCGCTCAATGCAGCCCAAGCAAGCCAAAAGTTTGGACAATCATGCTGTACCACAACACGAACGAAGGATAATACATACCCAGATTGAAGCAAAGGAAGGATAACAGCATTAGGCACAAGAAATTACACTTGTGTTAAAAACACCCTTTAATTACTTTCATTACTGCATTTTTCTATCCAGTTACTATGACTTTCGCACCAGGCACACCTTTCCGATTCTCGACGAAACTTCCTAGATCGCCTAAAACGCTCCGAACAAACCAAAATAACGTTCAGAGAAACCGGTTCTACATTTCTATCTCTACGTCTTTCTTCGTCGTCATCACCTTTTTTTAAAAAAAAAAAATAACAGCGACTAACTAAATCATACTTGATACGCTCAAATGTAATGGAAGAGGCGGGCTTTATCCAAGAACGACAACTTTCTCCGCTAATGGTTAATTCCATGATGGCCAATATGTAAATCTTTTTCGGAGGTTGAGCGAGGTGGACGTTTCGCAAAACCAATGAGAAGCCTTGGAGTTGAGGAACGGCGTGGCCCAGGACCAATGAGAACCCAGAGTTTGAATAGGGTGAATGGAGGAGTAGGGTTAGCCATCGTCGTTGTGTGAGGTGAAGAAAGGCTGTCGGGAGCGATACCTCGAGAGGAGGTCGTGAGAGGCTGACGAAGTAAAGCCTTCCCACCCGCCATGTCGTTGCACGGGAAGCGCAAGGAGATCTACAAGTACGAGGCTCCATGGACCGTCTACGCCATGAATTGGAGTGTCAGGCCCGACAAGCGCTTTCGACTTGCCCTAGGCAGCTTCGTAGAAGAGTACAATAACAAGGTGAGCCAACCTGGTTGGGGTCAGCGGGCGAGGAGAAGTCACTGGTGAGGCCGGGCAGGTTCCGCACTGCAGCGCATCCCCAGTCGGTCCTCACCAGCGGCCCAGTTAAAGGCAGTGAGTGTCCCAAAAGGTGGGAGGGGAGGGGAGGGGAGGGGATTGCGCGAAAGGCGGAGCTGCTTCGGGGAAGTTTTGTTGGGTTTTGCCCTCGGAGCATCTCTGCCGCTTCCAGTTGGTGGTCAGGCTGCTTGCTTTCACTATAGGCAGGGGCCGTTGGGATATTTTCTGGTGGTGTGATGAAAAGAGGAGAAAAAGCTGCATCTGCGCACTTTCTGCCTCTCTAGGAAGTGAGAAAGGAATAACATTCGTTTTCAATTTCGATAGCTTTAGAAGTTGTGTTATTAGGTTTGCCATTTGATACCTACACGGGGTAAAGTTTGCTTGAGATATGCCTACCTTATGTCCCTTCAGTATTTTAGTTAAGCTTTAATTTGGCCTTAAGAGCCCTGCAGAATTTATTCCAATATTGGCCAAATGGATTCATTTGGGAAACTCACATGCCTGAACTGGAGGTCTATAACTGCTGTTTTCCTACAAGGAGCATTTATCTATAATTTAAATTTACAAGGTTATTTAACTCGTGTTTTCTGTTTCAGGAAATAGTAAGCAGTCATCACTATCATAATAGTAGCCAGTATTAGTGTGTGATCTGAAGCTTCCCAAGCTATCCAAATTGACTGCCATTGCCACAATTGTAGCAGTGAATTCTTGGGTCTATATAACAACAACAACAAAAACTTCCTTCCGTTGGCCCCAACCTCTCTGAATTTAATTTCAATAATTACACACTGGAAGGAGAAAAATATGTTCATTTCCATGTTATTTATGCCAGACATATTTCTGTTATATCCCCTTCCATTACTTTGTTCCAAGATAGAGCCTGGGTTACTGTAATCCTCCCTCATATATGAAGTATTCCAGTCTCTCTAATCTTTGTTGAAAGCCAAACCCTGTAACATAACCATCCCCATCCACATTTTTGCACCTTTTCTAATTCTGTAATACCATTTTCAAAATGTGTCCAAAACAGTAGCTAAAGTGTAGCCTTATTATAGGTTTATATAAAGGGAATATTATACTGACAATTCTATTTTTAGTTCTTCTAAGAAGTCCAAGTGGGAATTTAACATTTTTATAGCAGCTACAAACTTGGTTGATACCATCTACCCTGACTCCAAGATACTCTTTCTAATCAGTGACTATTCTATGTATACATGACTTTTTGGAATTTATTTGAAATTTATGTGCCAATATGCACCCTACATTTATTTCTAGCGAACTGCATTCATCATTCTGAAGGCCATTCATCCAGATGGGAAGGTTGCTTTTGGAGCGCATCACAATTACTTTTTGATTTAAAAGCTGATCTGAATAATTTGCTGTGTAATCATTTATGTAGTCCGCATGGTAATTTGAATGATCAGCTCTAATTCCAGATATGTTTTATGCAAATAAAAAGTATCAATCCTTACACCAATTCCTGACTGGAGAAGTATTCCTGGAGAAGTACTCTTCTCCATATCCTTTTTGACACTTTCAAAGAAGCTGGAAGGTTAGTGAGACAAAATTTCTCTTTGGTTCCTTTTCAACAAGACTAGTGGTATGTATTATTTTCTCTTTAACAATTCTTTTAATTCCCCCCACCCCAAACTGTCTCTACGTTCCTATATCGCTTCTCAATATTGTTAGAAAAATTGGAATCACATTTTTCCAATCCTTTGTTTAAAAGAATTGTATTATTTTTTGTGAAAAATTGACAGTTTTATTCTTAATTGCTTCAAGAGCTCTTAGATAGATACCATCTGGACATTGGAATTTGTTTAGTTTTACTTGATCAATTTTGCTTGTAACCATTTTTCCGTAACTGTGTTAGTCTTTGTCCTGAATGTGTATGTGTGTGTGTGCGTGTACATACACACTTACAAACACACATACTTTTTTTTCTCATAGGTTCAGCTTGTTGGGTTGGATGAAGAAAGCTCTGAATTCATTTGCAGAAATACTTTTGATCACCCCTATCCTACTACCAAGCTCATGTGGATACCAGATACCAAAGGAGTTTATCCAGACCTTTTGGCAACCAGTGGTGATTATCTGCGGGTGTGGAGAGTAAGTAGACCATTTAGAAAATAATTCTTTAATAATAATGCTTTGTTTTTTTTAAAAAACTACAGTAGCAGACCTGCTCTTATGAACTACAAAGAAGTGTTATACTTAGCATATTCAAGTATTAAAAAGTTTGGTTTTTGAAGCATGTAGCTTGCCCTTTTTCATAGATTTCTCAAAATATTCTCATAATAATTGGGATATTAATAAGACCATAGTAGTATCTCAAATATAGCACTGTATTCAACAGACTGATAATGATTCAAGAGATAATCATTTCACATGTAAGTTCTTCAGTTATCATTAAAAAAGTGAATTCTTCAGCAGTTGATCAGAAATATATTACAAATAACCTGAACATCTGTCTTCCTTAATGTAATGATATATGGTTCTTATTTGGAAATAGTTCCATGAAGAAATGCTTGGAACACTGGGGATTCAACTCCTGCTGTAATATTGAATGCCAGACCTATAACATAACATCCTCATCCAAATTGGGGATGTGAGGGCAGACCTGGCTTGCATTACCAAAACCTGGGTATCATGGGGAAAGGGGAAGTTCATCTCTCAAAGATCTCCTCCCCTACCTCCAGGTTTTCAGTTTGTCCCAGGATGATGGTGGTAGCTATTGTCAACCCTGAAACTCTATTGGCATCAAGGGATACTACTCTAGATAAACAGATGTGAGAACTTGTTAGTGTGATTATACTTGAAGGGGCCTTTGGGCTAGCTGCTGCTATATCTTTCCCTCTGTTGCAAAGCAGGATCCCAACCATGGCTGCCAAACTGGTATTAGGGAGCTTCAACCTGCCTATCCTGGTTGAAGGGTCTAGAGCAGCTCAAGAGTTCTTGGCTGCCATTACAATGCACCTGGCCCAAGATATTAAAGAACCAACAAAGGATCATACGGTACATCTGGTTTTAATCTTGGGGCAGACAGAATCTTAAAAGGGGGCAGGATAAAGCTTAGCTCCTTCTTGTGGATAGATCATCACGATAGCTATAAAGTTTAATGTTGCAACTAACCCACCCCTAATGAAGAAGGAGTTGTTAGATTGGCTTACTCTGTGCAGCAGAGAAGGCCCAAGGATCTGGTGAGCAGCTCAGTCAAGATAGTGGTTGCCCAATGGAATAAAGAGATAATTAGGGTGCTTGACCAAGTTCCACTAGGGCAGCCTCTCCCCAAATCCATTGCAGCTCCTTGGTTTATGAGCAGCTCATTGATATGGAGCAGCAATAGAGATGCCTAGAGCATTGCTGGTAATTGTAATTGAAATAAATTGTATTTCATTGTTAGAAATTGAACTTTTCTAGCTAGAGTTCAGGTTCGCTGCTCTTCCACATTTACACAAAAATAAAGTGATATATGGCAATAGTATAACAGTGTGCTTTGTATTATAGTCCTACAATCAATATTCCTATATGTTGCTTACTACATTTTTAGCAGGTACATTGGCATGCTTTTATATACCAATATTCCTTCTGTAATTCTACAATAAACATTCCAAGCTTTGTCAGCAGGAGAAAAAGAGTCACTTCCTGCTCTGTACATCGTTTTCGGGAAACCATTGATTTTGTACAGGTAAAAATAGTATTTGGATTCACACACCAAATGTGTGTGTGGGATGAAGTCCTGTTTGGTTTTGCCATTTTTGTTACATGAATTCATCCATTGTGGTTTTTAAACCATGATTTGTGGTTTAGTGGGGGTAATTGAACTCAGGCAGTTGTAATTTATTCAGTAAACAAAAGCCTTGTTACAAATTGGACTGAAATGTGAAAAGGCTATTATGGACTTTATAAATTACGGATTTTATACATTCTCATAACATACCGAAGGAGGCAGCTAGGCCTCTGGGGGAGCCATGGATCACTATCCCTGCAGGAAAGAGGAAGAGGCAGAGGAAGAGAGGATGCTGTGCTGGGGTTTCCTTTAAACTGAGTAAGTTTCCACACAAGCCTTCAATTCCAAGTATATTTGTTACCAAATGCAAGATCTCTGACTAACAAAATGGATGAATTAAGGCTACAGATTGCAAATACTAAATTCATCAAGAACTGCTGTGTTTTGCTAATTACAGAAGCTTGGCTTCATTCACTCATTCCAGATGCAGCTATTGAGCTGGAAGGCAACTTAGCTCTCTGGCAGGACAGGAGTAGAGATTCTGACAAGATCAAAAGGGGGAGGTTTACACCTTTATGTGAACAAAAGCTGGTGTATCAATACAAAGACTGTAGACAGCCACTGCTCCATGGATCTGGAGTGTATGACTCTTAAATGTAGACCCATATATCTTCCGCGGGAATTCAGCGTGGTTTTGATTACTGCAGTCTATGTCCCACCTGATGCCAATACTACTATAGCTTTGGGATTCTTGTATAACATTGTTAGTAATCAGCAGAATAAGTATCCTGATGCTGTGCATATCATAGTGGGGACTTTAATCAAGCTGATTTAAAAGAAGTGCTCCCTAAATTCTATCAGCACGTTAAGTGTGCTACTAGAGGAGCAAACATATTGGACAAGGTATATACCAACATCAAACATGGCTATAAGGTTATACAGTTACCACATTTGAGACAGTCAGACCATATGTCACTGCTTTTAGCACCAGCATACATCCCTCTTAGGAGACGGGCTCTGCCTATAATAAAGACAGTGAAATCTTGGCCAGAAGATGCTTCCCAACAACTTCAGGATTGTTTTGAGAACACAGATTGGGACATCTTTTACCACCCTGACCTAGAGGTGCACACTGCAACTGTTCTGTGCTATATCAAATGCTGCACAGATACTGTCACTGTGGATAAACTTATTAGGATCTATCCCAATCAGAAACCCTGGATGACCAATGAAGTCCAGTGCCTCTTGCATGACAGGATCAAGGCCTTTAGGTCCAGTGATGGGGCAAAATACAGTGTTGCCAGAACTAATCTGAAGAAAGGTATTCAGAAGGCCAAGACTGATTATAAGAAGAAGATTGAAGATAATTGATATAGCAATAACATGAGCAAGGGATTCAACAAGTTACAAACCATCAACCAACCAATGTCATCCCTGCTGAGGGGGATGCTTCATTGGCAGAGGAACTGAATCATTTCTTTGCTCGCTTTGAAGTGGAGGCATCAGAGACAGCTAAAACACAACTACCAGCCAATTGTAGCCCCTGCCTCATTGTGGAGGAACAGAAGGTGAGGAACATTCTGAGGGCTGTGGACCCTAGAAAGGCTGCCGGTCCTGACGGTATCTCTGGCCAAGTACTTAAAGACTGTACTGATCAGTTGGCTGGAGTGTTTACCAGGATCTTCAATCGGTCTTTATCCCAGTCCACTATTCCATCTTGTTTGAAAGCTTCCACCATTGTTCCGCTGCCAAAGAAGTTCCCTATCAATAACCTCAATGATTACAGACCAGTGGCACTCACTCCTATCATCATGAAGTGCTTTGAGAAATTGGTCTGCCGGCATATCATTTCTGGTCTTCCGCATATATTTGATAAATACCAGTTTGCATACAGAAAAAATAGATCTATAGAAGAAGAGCCATCACTCTTCACACTGCTCTGACTCATCCAGACCGGGGGGCGGGGGGGGGCGGCGGCTATGTGAGCATGCTTTTTGTGGATTTTAGTTCTGCATTTAACATAATTCTTCCACATAGACTCATGTGTAAACTTCTAGACCTTGGGCTTTCTAATTCAATCTGCCTTTGGATTATGGATTTCCTGTCTGTCCGCTCACAGAGGGTCAGATTAGGTAATCATACCTCTTCAGCCCTTATTCTTAACCCTGTGGTGTACCAGTGTTAAGAATA